GAAAGGGGGCACACGTGCATATATATATGTTGGGTACACATCTGGACAGGCTGTCCCCACATCTGGACAGCCTTTTCAGGTGTGGGGGGAAAGATAGCCGTGTCCATCAGCAGGGGTAATAACGTTCACCTTCTTTCTGAACATTCAAATAATTCTCATTCATGATATTCAGAGATGACTGGGAGCAGCAGACGACAGTATAGGTTCTGATGCATAAGCTCCACTGCTGGTGGTTAATTAGCTTTGCTGCTACATGTCTCCTGCTTGCTGACTGCTCTTTGGAGACACATGGAAGAGCTGCCCAGAGGCAAATTATAAATGAGAAGCAGGTTATTAGGATTCTGTCAAGCAAAGTAAGGTATTATAAGTGTCATAAAGAGCACAACAGTGAATACACAGCGCAGTAATTAGGATTTAAGGGGTCTCCCTTTTATATGCCGGTTCCTGATAATAATCAATGGCCTTAGCATCTCCAGTCAACAACAACAAGACAGCCCTGGCCCTGAGTGGTCGCAGGCTGCATATATAAAGCTAATTGTGAAACGAACCAACTTGAAAGTAAGCAAAAGAAGGAACAGCGCGCAGCAGCCACCCCGTCAGGCTGAAGCTAATGAAAGCTCATCTGCATTTGTAATAATCTTCCACTGCTTGAGGAAAGATTTCCTTGTTCCAGGTACTGGCGAGGAATGCAAAACAAAGAATCATCAACACACCCTCATCTAAATCCCTCTCTATCCCGGTCTCCCCCATTTTCCCTCACGTTCAAAACATTTTCTTGAGAACCTTCGAATAAACAACACCTGGACTATCAGCAGCACTGCTGCCACCGAGCCAATCTGTCTTTTATTTCTTTTCTAATTCATCTTTCCTCTGTGGCAACCTGATCCTGCCGTTTACCTGCCTTTCTCTCCCTCTTTTGGCACGCACACACACACACACACACATACACTTTAACACACGCTTCAGAGAGCAGTAACTAATAGCAACCTCATTCATTAAAACACCCCTTGATGTTTCACACGGAGGCAGGGTAAATGTGCTGGAACGCCTGTCCTGTCTGTCGAGTTGTGTGACGCTAACAACAGATAGAAAGATAGACAGACAGGTGGGGCTGCGACTCGTCTTACACTCCGCTGGCTCAGACCAAACTGTAGCACACACTATTGTAACATACACCATATTTCATATCGGGTTTGATAACCATTTGTCAGGAATCTTGACAAAGATACAGACTTTAAAACTTAAAAGAGTAAGATTCCATAATTTAGGGTTTTTGGGAATTTATATTTCTCTAGGGAACTTTTCCACTACAGGAATTAGTGGTGATATCAACAACTCCTCCCTCCACCACAGATCTTGTTAAATCAGTTTTCTTTTATCGATGATGTCAAATAAGGCAACCTTTCAGCCTGCACCTCGCCTCACACCTGTTAAGTCTGATGTAGTGTACATGCTATTCATTCATGTGTAAGAATATGACATAAGGGTGCATTCTAATAATAAACACAGGCTGAGTGATGCTCAGAATATTGCAACTTTAAGCGTCTTGGTTATTATGACTGAGATGTTTAATTACAGAACACTGATCTCTATATGAAAATCCTTACCCCGCACCTATATAAGAAGCAGGCTGGTTGAAACATCTGCTGTGAAGATATACATCCATGTGAATTAGAAATCTCTCTGTTGAAGCATTCATAGTGTTACAATATCTGTTATAGACGGAAATAAATAAAAAAAATCTGAAAGAAACATGGCCTTCAAAAACCTCCTTTAGCAGAGTAAACTTTTGGCCATTTTCCTACATGACCGTGAAAGTGCTCACTTCATTAAGCAATGCTGTGGTGGGGAAACTATGCAAACCAAGCAAGGCAGCAGGGAAATGTTAACAAGCCTGGTAACTCAGCAATCTGGTTTTATTTTTGTGTCAGAAAATAGTGTAGACATATCAAAGTGCTACTAAAATGTTGATTTTAGTTCACAATATTGCAACTGCCTCTTTAGAAACTTAAAAATGCAAACTAAACTTGAAACATCAATGACCTAAATTAATTTCTCAAAGGCAACTTTTTAACCAACACTGTTCCTATAAAAAAAAACTACAGTTACAATGGGGATGTGAAGCTCTGGAATCCTGTGTGAAGTCTGTGTACAAACACTGCAGATACCTGTTTTTATGTATCGACACCTAAACCCTAAATTATAGTTGTAGGTCATAAATATGTCCCAAGCTATAAAGATAGCTCATTGGTCATGCAGGCCTCAAACAGATGTTGAAGAACATATGAGGACGATCCATACATATGACATCAGTCATCTTAAATGAGAGGATCTTTACATAGACAGTCATGTAGGATGAGAACATTTCTATTTCTTTAATACTTGTCCCTGTCTGCATGCTACACCCAGACTCCCCATTCCTACCAGCAGCCACCACAAGCCCTGCCCTCACCAGCTGTTCTGCCTCAGGAAACTTCACATAAACTTAAGTACTGTCTTTCTGCATTCCACCAATCTCGTGGCCTTAACCCATAGAGGTAAATAGGACAAAAATGCCCAACTGGGACAACACAATTATCCTTTTAACTAGCGCAGGGAAGGCTTGACTCTCAGGCTTACCTGTTACATCATTAGTTATAGGGAAGAAGGAAGGGAAGGATCAGGAAACAGGGATAAAAGAAGGGGGATGAAGGTTAGGTCATAAAATTGTATAATCGGAACGTAAAGCACACGTCCTTCTGAATTTTTATGGTTAATCTGTTTTCAAAAGCTACAAGAAGACAGCCTGCATTAGAACTTAGTCACGCCAAGTGGTAAAGTCCTACAGACAAGGATAGATGAGCTCTGCTACATGACCCTGTAGTCACTAAGCACTGAAGCGAGCAAAGTTGAAACCCAAAGCACACTGATAGCTGATCTTGTTTACCTTGAATACTGGTATTTTATTTGCATGACTCAACCTTGTGGAAAAATCCATAACTCATTTGCAAGGCTGTTACAGGACATATAATGTCAACAGCAGACAATATCTATGGCATCCGAAATTCAAACAGCTACCACTGTTATTCTCTAAGGACATTTAACCTCATTAAACAGAAACAGGCTTTGCTCAGAAAAAAAAAGGTAAAAATTTAATTCAGCTTGAATCAATACGGTGAAGGGATGTAGTTGCTTGTAGTGGAGGAGATAAAGTAACACTGAGCGTTTTCATAAAGACCCGAGTAAGCACACCTGCATGTAATCTCCACCCCGTCACAGTCGCAGCAGCAGAAACTACCCTGCTCACTTCTCATCTCCAATCATCAAAGATGGTCTGATGCTCTTCTCTAATCTTTTGAACTCACTGAAAACTCTGCCCACAGTCAGAGTCAGTTTGCTGCCGGCTGATTACAGAGTTGCCTGACTCCTCACAATAAGTCCACACAGTCATTGTGCGGCACAGAAAACTGTGCCATACGCGCCACTCCCAGAGCTTCCAGACAGGGTCAACCAGGTCCCTGGTCTGGCTTTTGGCTGATGGGTGATTTTCTGGTCAATGTAAGGCTTTCTTTCCACCTCTTTGCTGCCAAGAGGAAATGAGGGGATGATCTCCCTGCTCATCACTCCCAGAGAAAACAAACAGGGATGTTTTATAACCTGCTTGTTGACCTACAGCAGAGTGCAACAACAAGCTACCAGAGCTGTTTACTTCAGGATGACATACTTCTGATCTGACACATGACAGAACAATGCTAATTCCACTACAAAAGCTGTAGTTTTTATGGGACAGGAGGCCCATAAAAGTGTTCACCTGTCAGATGCGACCAATTGTTTCACACACAGAGACTTAAATGGGAATTGAATTCCTCTAAATTCTTGCTGTGATAAGCCTGGCCAACATCAAACAGGAATATCATACACAATATACATTTTCAACAGTCCAAAGAAAAACTGTAAGGACAACGAAACTAAACCCGTCCACGTGATCCGCAGCACTTCTCACAACAGAATCCGCAGCATGCAGAGTTGTAGAGCAACACCTGGCATGTGTGTGCTCATGTGTGTGGTACCAGGGCTCACACACACCTGCTCCTCCATCAGCCTCGGCCCCCAGCACCCAGCCTGACGCGAAACAAAGCCACTCTCTGTCTGGACACTGACACTGTTTGATTCCTCGCACAGTTCCCCGAATGTTGCCTCTGCTGAAACCTAAACACGCTGTTTGCAATGGGTGAAAAGATTCTTTAAACCGCTGGGAGAAGAAAGAGAGGTCTTCCCAGAGAGTCATCTGGTTCTAATGCAGGGTTCGCTGGTGTGGATTACAAGCACGTATTACAGGGGAACTCGGGCTGACCTCTTGTCTCTGTCCTAAGGGAAATGGGAGCCAGTTAGTGATCGGGGGCTGAGGTTCCGAGGGCACGGGGAGCAAAAGGGTGAATAGATGCTTGTGGGCACATTGCCACCTCACATGATTAGTGCCCTTCTCCTAAGGGGGCATTAATCTATGATCTTTTCAATAACTTTGCATCCACTTTTTCTTCTTAAATCTCCCCATGCTACTGAACAATACCATTACTTCAAAGATCCCCTGAAGTCTGCTGTGCCTTTACCAGACCTTCTGCAAGTTGCGAATAAATGAGAAGGTTCTCTGCAATCATCAGAGTAGCACCAGAACGTGCTCGCTTTATCACATTAAACAAAATGAGCAGCTGGCTATTCTGCAAGCCTTTGTGTTTGCTGCCCCGTTTCACATTAAAAACGGGTTTAACTAATGGGGTAAACAAGCACAAGAGAGAGGCAACGTCGGGAGGCGGCGAGGCCTTCAGGAGGAGCTCATAAAGCTGCCAGTAAATCTGGATTTTTGGACAAACAATCAGCCATCATGCATGAAAACATTCCCATTAAAACAGCATTAAATCCGGCAAGATGCGAAGAGCAAAATGATCCATAAAAAGCAAACTGGAACTGTTTCACTTTGCCATTTCACAACAAGCTTATTGTGTCCGAGTTTTTGCTCTTACCTGTAGTATCTGGACTGTAGGTAAGTGGAGCAGACTGCTTTCGACACATGGCTGGCTGAACCAAAGTCAATGACTTTGACCCTGTAGGGCTGTCGAGATGGATCCACAAGCATGATGTTTTCTGGCTTGAGGTCGGCGTGGATCAGCCCCAGGCTCTTCAGTTTCATGAGCGCCGTGGCCACCTGTTGAAGCACAGGTCTGATGTACTTGAGTGGCAGGGGGCTGAACTTGTTCTGCTTGAGGAAGTCATACAGGTTCTGTTCCAACATTTCAAACACCAGGCACGTATGGTTCTTGTGCTGGAAGCACTCGTAGGCCCTCACAAAATTGTAATCGTCTGCGCTCTCCGTGCTGAGTCGTGCCAGGATGCTGACCTCGATTTGGCCCTGCCGTGCATACGAAGGGTGGTTCTTTAAGATCTTGATGGCCACGATCTCATTGGTGCCCCTCTTCCAGCACTTAACCACCTGCCCGAAGGTCCCTCGTCCCAAGAACTCTAAGACTTCATAGGTATTGGTCATGGAGCAGAGCACCTCGTGCTGCACCAGCTGGTAGTCGCCCTCGTTGTTGGAACCACTGTTTTTGGACGTTGCGGTGGAGGTGGCGGTGGCGACGGTAGCCACCGTGGCTCCGCTGGCTCCTCCGGTTTGGATCATCGGCGGGCCGTGCTCCTCGATGATCTGCACGCTGCTGTTGTTGTCAAGCTCTTCGCTCTTGCGCTTAAGCCCGCATCGCTGGTAGGTGTCCAGGAGGCTCACTGTGCTACGGCGGGTCAGGTTGTGAACGCCCAGCCCGCTGCCCACGCCACCTCCACCACCACTGCTGCTGCTGCTGCTGCTGTTGCCTCCACCACCGCTGCCCAGCAGAGACCCGACGGCCCCCGAGGTGCTGCTGGCCGAGGCGACCACGATGTGGCCCGCGCTGGCTGGGAAGATGAGAGCCTGCTCGTAGGGCAGGGTGGAGCTGGCGACCTGCAGGGAGCTGGTGATGCCTAGGGCGCCGGCGCCGGCCGACACGTTCTTGCTGCTGTTGTGGCTGTAGACTTTGCTGTGTGTGCCGTACCCTGTCATATCCCAGTTGCAACTCTGCTCCACCTTCAGTTTCTTTACGCTAAAGAAGGCACTTGACTGAAGAGTGTGAGGGGAGAACACTTGCACTTGCGAGGCCATACCTGTGACAAGAGGGGAACAGAGGGGAGGAGCCAGGGGAACGAAAGTGAGAGGTTAGGAATTTGAGAGTGACTGAAACATGAGTGGTAGCCACAAGCTTTAAATAAAAACGGCTTGGGTCAGAGCAGGTCATTAAAATGCGAAGCATTTATGTTGATGCATCAGCATGTTAATCCTCTTAAAAAACAGATAACACTTGAAATAACTTTCAAACCGTCATTTAGCATTATTTGCTGTGGCATTGAAAAGTCGCTCCATTATGTAAAATTTAAAGGCTGCTGGAAAATGATGGACAAGACCGTTCTGTAAAATATTCGAAAACATCGTGGCATAATATTAAAATGAGATGAGTAGATTTAGATTTAGATTCAGTTGTGCTTGTGGACGCCTCTGGTTCGTGCAAAGGAAGTGCCTTTTTCCCCACCGTTCCCATTCAAAACAATGTAAACAGACTGTGTGAATACTGAAAGAAAAACCCTTTCACGAGGCACTCCATAGAGACAACCACGCGAGACAATATGATACACAAAAATAGGGCTTCCAAAAAAAAAAAAAAGACTCATGGAGAATGATTGAAATTTCCTGATCCAATACGCAACCCAGCTTGAGCAATTATTGGTACACAATGACTCACTTTAGCGACGGTGGAATGAAAAAAATGTCTTTAAGTAACAGAAGAGGGGGACTCAACTCCCCCCCACAACCCCAGATCCTGAAGACAACAAAACAAAAAGCAGAAACAGCAGCGAAGCTGTGCTCTGAACTCCTGGGAACAAACTGCTTCAGAATAAGCAAAAGCCTCTCCAAGCAAACAACTGCCCAAAATAGTCCCATTCTTTATCTCTCTCTCTCTCTCTTCTTGCAAACAGGCTTGTTTGTAACATTGAAATGACTATTACAGCACAAGGAAGATTAAATGAGACTTATGCTCATAGACGTAATGCTATGCTTCAGCCGTTTCCAGTAAACCCAAAATTAGTTTACTGCTAACAAACTAAGAGTTTCCACCTGGCCATTCTGACGCCCACACACACAATTAGGCCTTGCAGCTGATCAACTGATTCTGATCTGCACCATTCAAAGAAAGTAACGGTATGCGCACACACAAACACTAACAAGAGTCGCGCAAACAGCTTTTAAACTTTGTTTACTGCTGGCAAAATTGCTGCTTTTGTATGTTTAATGGACATCTTGAAAGTTGGGAACTTGTTCTTTTCAACGATAATTAAAGTCTCTCCGAAACAGGACAACAATTAGAATAATGTGAGTCTATTGTGCAGTCAGAAGGCGATATGGTCACTTTGTCATTATTAGCCCTTTCTGTGGTGATGATGATTAATTTAGTGGGAAGTTGGCAGTCTTTTACTATACTTTCTTACAATAGGTTTTGTTTTTCTTAATTGCCCTGACCCCCTTGCTTCTTCCTGCTTTTCAGATATTTATTTTCTAGATTGGCCTTGCTTTGACTCACTATTTATCTCTCTGGTCATCTGGTCTTAGCCCTAATGCGGCATGATTGAAGCTGCACTTGATATAAAGGGCTCACTGTAAGCCTGACTAGTGCTGTGCAGGGACTGATGTCACATAGTTTCTCCACGCTCCTTACAACAGATATTACACCTCAGTCATCCATGATATCGGTATAGAGCTTTTTTTTGGTTGTTGTTTAAAGTGTGCAAGTTTGTTCACTTCATGTCTGGTACCATAACTACGACTCCTCCACAGAGGTAATGAAGAACGTCCGCTAAGCTATTAGGGGCAAGGCTCTCCACTAATCACATAAACCCTGAAGGCCAGATGTCACTCCTTGGATTACCAATTCCTGTGCCTGGACTTTACGCTAAAAATAATTTGAATGATGGGTTGCGTCACCGAGCAGCCTCAACTGTGTGTGACTGAGAGCATGACAGGATAATCACCGGCACAGACTGATGGACACAAAGATGGATAGGCACAGAGCCAGCCATTTCCTCTTATGGAAAATTCCAATATCTGTCAGTATTTTTATGAACCGACATGGTTTTACGAGGCTAGGCTGAGGCCAGTTGCTTTTGCATTTGTGTCTCTTTAAATTCCTCTAAGACTGCAGTCACTCATTGACTCTGTCAGTTGTTTTAACACGGTGGTCAAAGACTTCGTTTAGCATTGCCTACACAGTGCAACGAACTGAAGGCCACACATGTCATGCTAAACCGGGGGAGGACTCTGAAAGAATGCTGACAAAAAAAGTCTTCTGAGATCCGCGCGCCACCCTTAAAATTCAGCTCTGACACAGCTGGTAGCTCCGCAGTTGTAAAAGGTAGAACAAACTACAATTTAGAGCCTTGTGCAGCACACAGATAAGTAATTAAATGAACCAAAAGTAAGAGGTCAAATGGTTGGAATGTTATCTCATGACAACATTCAAAGGCAACAATGTGAGCAATTATTCTTCATTTGGAAAGCAGCTCTTGTTGTGATAAATCAGTCTTCACCCAAACTGGAGTTTAAACATATTTATGATCTAGAATCTGAACAATAAAACTCACTTTGGTGCTGTCACAAAAGGCACAGTGCAAAAGAAAAGAAAAAAAACGTGCAAAAGCGTAAAGGTCCATTGTTGTACATTTACAATGTTGGAATGCCTTCAGTAGCCAAAGCTTACCATTTAGCAAACCTAAAGGAACACTGCGAGCCCCACACACTGCAATTAAGCATACCAGAGAGGCATTTTCGGCTGTTTAGAGGGAGCATGTTGAAATGGTAATAGTCAATGTTTTCAAAGAGATTACTTCTCTGTCAGGGGTTTGTTAATCTTCTTTTTGGGAGGATCAGAGCTGTTCTGTGTGAGAGATGGACTGAAAGGGAGGGAAGGAGAATAGAGCTCGGAGAGCAGGGTCATGAGTGGCCCTCACATTCTCGTCTGTGACCTGCCTCTGTTTGCTGTCTCTTATTAAACCTGTCATTCATACGCCACGGCGTGGCAGAGTATTGATGAGGAGAGATTCCGACCGTCAAACACGCAAAGATACTCTTTGTAACTGAAGACCGACTTAACATTTTAGATGCGTGTGACTAAAACAGATCAAACACAGGAAAATACTTTGAGACCTGATTATAAATAACACAAAATACTCTGAATGTGCTTTAAAATAGCATAGTATTTAATGCTGGACCCAACAAATAATGGACATAAAATTCTCTATTTTTCATTTTCATCCAAAGTCTTTGTTGTTATCTTTAACAAAATGTTAAAAGGAGAAAAATGTATAGGTGTTCTTTGTATCAGATTTAATAAATATCTTCTGCAAAGTAATTATACAATAAAAAAATACGTTCATCTATGATAGGCTTTTTGTGTGTGTCAAAAATCAATGTTAAACATTTTCTCAACCAGAGCAGAAAATGTTCTTTGCTAATTCTACGCTAAGGGGGCTGAGGGGAGTGATCCAGTACAGAGACGTCAGCCATCACCTGGGAGACTAACCAGAGACAATAGTCTGTCTCATTGATGTCCCCTGGCTTAGATATATTTGGATCTCTTCTTGAGGTTTAATGGCTACTGACACCAACAGAGGCTCTCCGATGACCCTGTCTCTTAACTGGACATCCCAGCGTCTGCAGGACTGGAAGGCGTTGGAGGGGGTGGGCTGAATCATGGCTAATGAAATGACTTCTGACTGTCTAGACAAAGCATTATCTCACCCTTTGCTCCTGCTTGCATCTGTGTCTTGCTTGCCACACCTCAAACCTTTTTCCAAACACCTGCCACATTACAGACAGAGGACGAGGTGAATAAACTAATGATACACATAGCTTCTTCGTATTTTTCTCTCCGTCAAAAAATTCTCCGCAATAGCTGCAGAATGCTGGATCTCTCTTGTATTGTCCGCATCAACCTGGAAAATTTCTTGCCAGGACAGTATTATAGACCTTAAGGTTAAATATTACAGTGAAAATCCGCCTGTCCAGGAACATCATGTCCATACAGAACAGTCTAGTCTTGTGTTCCTGCCTCCTGCCTGAGTCTTGTCCTCTGTTGGGAGCTGGAGCTTGACACTGCATAGCCTTTCTTGCTCCCCTCTCTCTCTCGAGGCCATTATTGACCATCCCGTCTGCTGTTTTAGCTCTCTCATCTTTGCTTATTTATAGAATAATGCATCAGACAAGGAAGCAGGGAGATACTGTCAAGCAGGCTGCTGCTCCATCAGGCGTCTTGTGCTGGCTCGCCACATTTTTGGAAGCGTCTGGCCATTTCATTCCATTGTTTTGCGGACACAGAAAGAGAGGATAAACACCCATCTAGCATATGGCCAGACTGAGAGGTAAACATGAGTGCTGTTTCACAGATACACGCAGGGCTTCTTAGCTAAACAACATGCCCACTGTAAATGTGACACTCCCTCATCTCTCTCCTTCCTGGAAACAAACAGCCAAAGATACGGCATGTTGTGTTAGCTGCGAGATAACGTGAGCGGTCGCCGCTGGCCTGAATGCATATGCACAGACACATGAGCAAGATCACATGACAGCCCATCCCACAAATGTCCACAGACTTTTGAGAGTATAAACACGAACATGCAGCTATACATGTTCATATTTGAACACCAATTAGAATATATTTCTTTAATCTTGTTCGTGTGCTGCAGTTTCAAAGCTTAGATTGGTTTAAAAAAAGCTGCTACCCCAGGGCAACAGTCAGTTGATAAGAAGGTTACTATTCACACTGTAAATGTGGTCATAAAACAGCTAGAGTGAGAAAAGCATTTGCCTTGTTTATACAGCCAGGTCAGCCTAACCAGGCACTGAACCAAGGAGTGGGGTTGAGAGTGCAGAGGAAGATGTGGAGGAACAGGGTGGGAAAGGAGGGGGGGGGGCGCAGAGAGATTATTTTTCACTGATCAAATGTTGTTCATTTCCAAAATATAAGAAAGAACAAAAAAGCAACAGTGTTAACAATGATCTTATTTCAGCACTAAAGCGGGAACTAATTAAAAAGAAACGTGAAGATGCCTCATGTT